TGGGACAAGCAAAAGCAAAACTGTTCCTTAAGGCTACCTTAAATAACTTTCTCCTTCCTGGATGTGAATCATCTGATAAACTTCAACTCTTTTAACATGTCGAGTCTTGTGTGTAATGGTGCCTGTGTTTTTGAGGAGCTGTTCGTGAGACTGTGACTCTTCTGCCGTCCTGTATGGAATGGTGTGAAGGCAGCTGTTTGTCCCAGAAGGGGAAGTCAGATTTTAGTCCCCACCTCGATGGGTAGAGAATGAAAAATCTCATAGAAACCCACTGATTTTCCTGTCAGTACTGCAGTGGAAGGAGGCACCATTTCAAACCGGTTATGATGGCAGCGGTCACTGTACCCCTTGAGAAGCATCTTCAGGTTGAAAAACCTACAGAGAATTGAAATTACTCCGTGGTGTAGTAAATAATAAACAGTAAACAACATCTATCCTGTTTTTATAGGAAAGATGATGTGTCTGTGGAAATTTTTCAAGCCGGTCAGTGCCACTGACTTCTTGTTTAAACAAAGAAAGAAACAATCCAAAATGAAAGCCCTAGGCCTGCAATTGCTTTCCAACCACTGCCTCACCTTTTGGGAGAGCAGCTACATTGTGGAAGGAGTTGGCAGCTCCTAACTCCTTCCTGGAGCTGCTGCTTGGAATGCCTGCAGCCTGAATTCTTACCTTGCTTTGGTTACCTGCAAATTCAGGTGGCTGGACTGAGACGGGCTTATTGCAGTGAGCAGGAACTGGACTGGAAAACAGCAGAGTTTCTGGTGTTGTGGGAGCTGGAGGAAGCCGTGCCTTGCTGGCGCGCTGACTCTCCTCAGGACAGAAATGTTGTGACTACTCGCTTTTAAAAATAGAAATGCTCGAGTTTAATCTCATCAGTGCAGATTTTGAACACGTACAGTTTCATTTTACCTGCTGTCCTTCTGACGCTGTGGTTGTCACAGGGAAGACGTGTTTAAATGCTGCAGCTATTGATTTCATTGCCAAAAAGCAGCTTGAGCTTCTATTTTCATTTCTATGTTGATATGTTGGCTAGTGGAAACTAACCCGATCCTACTGTGATGTGTCTATTCTTAGCAGGATGTTATCGTTTGAAGCCCTGTATTATTGTTTAAAGGCTGGAAATGTTTGCTTTTCTGGAATTTGGGTCTTGTCTTCCAGTGTTTCTGTGTTTAAAAACAGCAGCAGGAGAAAGGAGACAAGGAGGTGCAGAACTAAAACTTGGGGCTTCTGTGGTAAACTCAACTGTTGGCCTGTGGCAGTGAGTCCCTGCCTCAGTTTCCCTGTGTCTAACAAGACACTAGTGATCCCTACTTCAAAGCTACCTTGTGAGGATTAATTAATGCTCACAAAGGCCTTTGAAGATAAGAAAAGCAGGAGCTGAAATAGGAAAAGTTTCCATGCCCCAGGTAAATGTTCTGCGCGCTCTCTCGAGTTCAGCTTTTTCAGAATCTCTAGAGCGTTTCCAAATATTTTGAAGGGCCAATTTCAGTCTGGCCGTGGTGGTGGGCGCTCTGGGGAGACACTGAGTGGTACAGCTGTACTTCCAGGAGGTAGCTCCTCACACATTTCTCCAAGGAAAGGAGTGACACCCGTGGCCTGGGCACTGTGCAGCAGTCAGAGGAATATAGGTGGCAGGTGTGTCCTGAAAACGGTGCCACTGCACAGCAGGTGAGAGCTTGGGATCAGTTCTGTGGTAAGAACAAACCGTGGGGGCGTAACTTCTATTCATAAGCGACCTGAATTTCTCTGGTTTGATTCAGGGTTCCACAAATCCGCAGCAGACTTGATGGAAATGGGTAAAAAGCTCTGTTGAAAGGCTCTGGGGACAAGTAAAGTGAGGGAGTGAGGAGGCCTAAGCCAGGCCAGCCCGAGTGCTTCCCCTGGGAGCACCAAGGTTTAGGTGGCTCCTTTCCTGCATCCAGAGCTGAGGCTGGGTATTTCGGCTGCTCTGAGTGCAGGTGTGCCAGCGCTGCGTTCGAGGCTGGAACGAGCCGCTGAGGCAGCGCCTGGTGTAAGCGGGACTCCTGAAACTTTTCCTTTCTTCTGGAAACATCCATCGTCTTTCCAGCCTAAGGCAGTACAGCCTGCGGAATCCACATCACGAAACCCGCTCCCCTGTCAGCAGATGACTGGATAAAATTACAGCTTTGGGGGAAATTTGGCGTTCTTGCCTTTTACAAGGGAGCTGTGACGTCCGCGTGGGGCCG